ATAAAATATAAAATATATATACCTACATATTGATTATTTCAAACTTTATTTTCTATATGTGTAGTTTTTTACTTTATATGAATTAATTAATTAATTAAAGTTTAATTAATAGCTAATTAATTCTAATTAAAACAAAATTTTTATTTTTATTTGAAACCTTGAAACTGTACATTAATAATGTCCTGGTTTAAAATGTATCGGATCATTAAAATATTATTAAAAATAAAGGTATTCTAAAAAATAATACTTATTTTATTATTTTTATGTAGATACTTGGCCACAGGATTAGCATTTCGACAGTTAGCGCTAACATTTCGAATTTCAAAGACTGCTGTATCAAATATAGTCATCGAAGTATGTATCGCTATTTGGAATGCATTAAAAAAAAAAACATATGCCTACTCCTACAGTTGATGATTTTAAAAGTGTCGCTAATGAATTTTTCACACAATGGAATTTTCCAAATTGCGTTGGAAGTGTTGACGGGAAACATATTAGAATAAAATGCCCTCACAATTCTGGTAGTATGTTTTATAATTACAAACAGTATTTTTCAATTGTTTTAATGGCTGTCGCCGACGCCAATTCTAAATTTTTAATGATCGACGTTGGTTCATTCGGCAAAGATAGTGATGGCAGTGTTTTGTGTAATACATCGTTTTATAAACGTCTTGAAAATGGTACTCTTAAGCTACCGAGTCCATGAAATTTACCGAATTCAAATCAAAAAGTTCCATATGTATTTATTGGAGACGAAGCTTTTCCGTTGAGAAATAATATTATGAGACCGTTTCCAAGAAAGCAGTTGGACGACCACAAATCATATTATAATTATCGACTTTCAAGAGCAAGGATGACGGTCGAATGTGCTTTTGGTATTGCATCTTCGAAATTTAGAATTCTTCTTAAAGCAATAGAAACTAAAGTCGAAAATGCAGATCACATCGTTAAAGCCATTTGCATATTACACAATGTGATAATTGATAAAGAGAAAGAAATATCGTCATGTCAAAATCACCTGTCAGACTATTTGAATAAAAATGTACGTGAAAAAAATAATGCTATGTTGGGACTTCATGGGGGTAGAATGTAGATCCAATAACCGTGCTTCGCGTTCTGCAATTGATGTAAGAAACACGTTTGTAGATTTTTTTAAAATGAATAAATTAGCGTAAAAATAAGTGTTTATAATAATTGCAAGGTATGTAACTTATTATTTAAATAATTAGTTTATTTTATTATTATGTAAGTAGAATTTTGCATAGAATTTCTATCAATTTCGTCATATCTTATGTTAAAGTTTTGATTGATAAGTATTTTATACTTAAGATTATTTTTCCTAAACAAATATAATATTAGTATAAGTTAATTGTACTTTTTATTTTATATATTCTAGCCTCTATGTCTTTGTATCTAAGTATTTAATATAATGTGGTCAATCAAATAAGTATATTAAAATATACAATACGTACTTGTCATTTTTGTTATTTTAGCTACTTCATCCCATGCCTTGTCAGAAACTACCCTGTCTTTAAATTTTTTGTCCCATTTATTCCATAGAACTTTTCTTTTTTGTACTTCTGAAATTAATAACTCCATGGATACGAATGAATCGCACGACGCAACGACCAAAAACAAACTATTTTGTTTTTCAATTCGTACGACTAAACGCATACGAAAAATCGGACGCATCGGTCGTATTTGTCGTGTCACGTAGGCCACTTCCGTTTGTTTGGGTTATTTTGTTTATTTTAAGAATCGCATCGGTCGCGTCGTATAACGATTATCGCATTTGTCGGATTCACCTAGGACACAGCGTTATTATATATTTATAATATTAAAATAGTGATCCGTCCGAAGTTGGATTATAATATTATAATATCGCACATGCAGTAGGATTGCAAACGTGCATTATTTACGCTTGATCCTATTCTGTGTATTACAACGTGTCTTGGATAAAAGCGGATCCAAGTCCCTCGTCGACATGGGCGCAACTTGGACTCTGTTCACGTAAAAATAATTTTTGAAATTTTCATAATCTTATTTAAATTTAAAATATATTATAAAACTGTTTTATCATTTTTACCAACATTTTTCATTTAACTCATTTTAAGCAAACATTTTTTTATATACCTATACTATAAGTTTTATACCAAACAATAATACAATTACTACTTTCTTTTTAAACCATAATCGATATTCATAATTACATAAAAATTAAAAACAAACTGTAGAAAACAACTTGTTTTAAAATTTTTATATTTTTTTTTTTTTTGTGGGTTTCTGTCATCACGGTTTCATTGATATTGACTGATGACTGATTCTGCTATAATTAAATGAATATGGCTATAGCACCATAATGATATGTGGAACATGGTATTATCTTATTTTCATAATTTTATTCGAAAATAATATTATTTTTGTGTGTTCGGACTACGGATAACCAATTTTTCCAATTATTGGTCATTAGCGCACAATCAGTTATACACTATTACAATATTGCATGTATAGCCCCCTACGCTGTTTTACACTACCTATTGTAATATTTATTACTTGGGTTCGTATTATTCGTATCCTGTTCGCTTTTGTCTGCTCGACGTTCCTAGTGTTCCTACAGATTGTTAATTGCATCAACCATGTACTCTTGTTTTCATTGTTTAAATTGTTTTAAATTGTAATACAATGAGTGATTGTGATTCAGGATTCTTCAACCGAAGTCGATCACATTGCAGATTTATAAGAACCAATTTTACCCTGGCCAAATTATCAAAAATATTTTAAAGTACCTAGGTATTATGAAATATGAGTCGTTGAGGATAATTTTTTTACAAGAATCTGAAAATGAAGTGCTTAAGTTGTGTCGATACAAAGTGTTACAAGGTGGATTCACATTCAAACTCTAATATAAGAAAACATTTAAGCGTTATTTTTTATTTTATTAAATAGTTTTTAGTTGCAGCATTAACAAAAGTAGTTGATATTTACATGACTGCATGACTATATACTGATGCATTGCTAGTGAACGATACAGTTGTTAATGATTTAGAAGAAATCGACGAAAATGGTAATTAAACATTTATTTAAAATTTTAAATAGATAACCTAATATAATTAAATTATAAAATACTAAAAATATTTTTATCGAAAAGAATATATTTTGAGTAAGTATAGTGATCAGAACAAAACTATTAGGTAGTAGGTTGAACACTTAATACTCATAATCAAATTTGTATGAGTTGTAATACATTTAAAAATTAAATTTTTCTTTCAATTTAAATGATAAAAATATATGAAAAAAAATATTTCTAAGATATAAGTATGAATATGATTGGCATTAACTATCTTCTATTATCTATGCCCAAATTTCAATTTTAAATATCAATATATTATGTTTGTTTAATTTTTTATTATTAATTACAAATTTGTACAAATTAAATACATATCAAAATAATTTATTTGTATAACTTGTTTTTTCTAGGACTCTAAAAAAGCTATTTTGTATACCAAAAACAGTCACGAAGCACTTTTGCCAAGTCTACCGCTTTGTGGAATAAACAAGGTCGCTCAACTAAGTCAGCTGATTTATTTAAACAAAATCTTGGTGTTTATTTAATTACACTTAACGAGACACGTTGGTATTCACTGTATGATGCAGTGGTGCTGCTTAATAAATAAATTAAAAATAATGAACTTAAGTTTAGAATAATAATGGACAAATTGGCTATTGACAGGTAAATTGTAAATCTTAAAAAATAATTAATTATTTTATATCTCTTTTTTATGAACAATATTTTCAGATTCAATAGAAGTGATATTTATTTCATGTGTCAATATCAAACAATTATGGGGCCAATTTCAATAAGCTTGAATTTAATCCAGGGTGATACTAAAATGTACTTTAGTCATCTCCTACCTACAATTGAAGTATTAATTTATAAATATGAATTAGTGACAAGTGATCAAACAGTTTCTAATTATTTGAAAACTCTGGTGACTGCCATACTTAATGGTGTGTAATAATTAATATTTTTTAAATACATTATACTTATTTAGCCAAGTACTTAAATTGTACACATTAATTTCTTTTCATTTTAGCTGTTTTTGGTTTACTTTATTGGTAAATACTATTTACTAAGTAGTAAATATATAGTATCTCTTAGCTCTTACAGTCTTCCTGATGTATAATGTAAAATATTAGCTGATCTATTATTTATATTTATATTTCTGTGTAGTACCTACATTTATATACTCATGAGCTAAAATAAACAAACTTTATTGATAATAATTTTTGTTTTTAGGTATGAAAACAAGGTTTGCCAATTATTTGATAGACAAATTTTTAATTACTGCTGCAGTCTGCCACCCACTATTTAAAAAAGCATGGATTACAAATGATATAAAAAAGCAATTGGCCTCAGAATATTTAAAAAGTGCCTGTTATGACTTGCATACCAGTGATAATGACAATAATGATGTAGAAGGTAACCAAGTGAAAGATAATTTATCTACCTTTTTTACCAAGTCACAAAATTCCCGAGAGGAAAAATCAACAGTTAGTGATGAAATAGATAGATATTTGGGCACATCTCCAACAAAGACTTTAGAATGTTTGCATAATTTACCCACTATCAAAAAAGTAAGATTAGTTGAAAACTTCTTATTCTATTAATAGTAATATTAAAAAAACATTTGTACTTAATTTTCAGGTATTTGTAAAGTACAACACTCCACTACCTAGCAGTGAATCAGTAAATAGAGTGTTTAGTGTTGGTGATGCAATAATTACAAAAAAAAGAACAAATATGACGAATCAGCATTTTGAACAAATAATTCACTCAAAAAGTGTTTTTTTATAACAATGGTCAGTATACATAAACCTAATTTTGTCCCCATATAGTGTCTCTGCTTCACGTTATAGTGATAGTCATACATTTTTGTCTTGGAAACATCGAGCACACAAAATCCTAAACAAAATATAGTAAATGTTGAACATAAAAATGTAAATTATATTTACCAATATAGATAGGTTTATCAAATTTAATAATCTTGTTCTCTTGATTGGCTGCGTTAGGTTATCAGTTATTACTGTAATTGGTACAGCATTTAAAATTGGACCTATAAATTAACTTTTGGTGTAGCCCAATGTAGGTAAACAAGGAAGAAAATAATAATAAAAAAAAAAGCACACAATATACTATGTAATATTATGTAGGTTTTTTTATTTGTTAAAAATCTATGAATTTCTTTTTGAAGTCTATAAAATTAATATAGTATTTTGTGGTTTTCAATTCAAACGGGTCTTCTGTGTTTCATATTTATACCAATTGTATAGAGCCATGCCAGCACATGAACAATATTCTTGCAGATTTAGTTTTAGGAGACAAATTCTGGATAGCATATATGATAAAAGTTATTGTTTGTATGAAGAAAAGTGTTAAGCTGAAGATTTTGCTTAAATATCCCTAAAATATAATGTAGGTATCAGCTGTATAAAATGAATACTGTTTTGTAATGGTGTTAAGTTAATGTGTTAGATGGTGCTGATCCAATACAACTAAATAAAAAAAATCTAAGCACTGCAAGTACTTAAGAGCTAAAATGCAGAAATATTTTATTTATTGTTTATTTACATGTTTATCTAAATAAAGGTGACAAAACAGATCAAACAGTATAAGATAGGTATTAAACTACTTATAAAAAAAAACATTGGTAATTGCTACTTATTATCATACATTTACATTAGAGTCAATTACTGTTTTTGATAAAATATACCAACAAAGTTTTGGTTTTATTTTCTACAAGCCAAGTATTCAAACGTCATTTGTTTATTTTTTGGAAATATTTGTGTTGAAGTTAGATAAAGGTATTCATCTCGTTAATTCAGCAACTTTTGACAGTTGATGTACAAAAACTTACTATTTTATAAAACTAAATTATACAATATTCCTACAAATGAATAAATAAATATTACAAATAAAACATTTTTAAAAAACAAACAAACAAATTTTGTACTTTTTGAACTTAATATTTTTATATTATAAACAAGTTAATAGCAAATTTTCTTATTCGTAGATAAAATAAAATAAAATATGAAATTCTTAAAATATTATTCTATTGATATGATCTTTAATTACTGTACATAGTGTGTTGGCTAATATTATTACTTTTTACTTAACTCTATATATTATGTAGATGATTTTTATTTATTATCTTTTTGATATGCCAACAAAATAATTTTTTTTACATTATTTAAATTGAAATTTCATCTATTAAAACGAAAAAATGGAAATAGGGACTACTTGGATGATGGATATTTCCATTCTTATAAATAATTATTTTGTATTCAAACCTAGTTTATTAACTTAAGACTTATATTATGTTTGAACTAGAATTAAGTGATTTGATTTAATTTTGTATAATTATGATAAGAAACAACTCATCGAATATTTGATTAATGATTCCACATATTTCATTTTACTCAAGTAATTTTTATAAAAAATCTCGATTTTTCCAATTCGGATTTAGAAGAAGGAAGAAGTTGCTTGATATGGCGTCTGCACTCAAGATATGGCGCCTTGCTACAGCTATATATTACCCGAAGAATCGATGTATACGTAAGTTTGATTACTTATTCTTTTGGGGCTTAAATATTTTACTTTTTAGTCTCAAAATTAAATTATGATTTTTCTACCCGGGTGAAGTAGGGGCATATTTTTTATTCCAGAGTGCCCAACACAAAAAAATATGGTATTACAAACGACCACGGCATATCCAGGTCGCAGAATAATAACATATTTATAAAATTAAATATATATAAATAGTGTTGTACATACTAGTCATATTACAGTAGAACAGTACACGGTAGTTTTTATGTCCCGCAAAATTCAATAATTTTTATTTTTTGTTTATATAAATGTTAAGTAATATATGAATATTACTATGCCGTCGGCTTGTGGTCAATCCGCGAATTAAAGCGACGCCGGCATACATCAAACATCACATTATTTTATGAAGCTAGAAAAGTCGCTGTGCTGATTATTGAATATCCATCGGAAATTAAATAAGGAAATTTTAAAATTTAAATATTCTCGAATAGCTTAAAATATACCTAACCAATGCACTCAAAATGAATACGTAAAATATTAATTATTAATTCCATGCGCGACAGTATTCAGAGAAAAGATTTAACTTGGAATTTTACAAATTATAGTAGGTTAGTCGGTATACGGTAAATGTGATGTATAAGGCACTGAATACCAATTTATGTTAAATCTAATAAGTAGTAATCACAATTATTTACAATAAGATTTGTATTTACTAACTCATAAAAAAAATGCCTGCAGTGCTTCAAATATTTAAACACCACCTTTATCAATTATTAAATTAAAAATTAAAATAATAGGTACTTCATAAATTGTTGTAATTTAAATTTGAAAATTATAAACTATTTTGGTCATTGTTATATCTCATTTGATTATCTTAATGATCAAATCTCAAACAAGGACCTCTTTGATATAAAAATTTGTAATATAATATCTATCCATGGTTTTAACATATTGACGTAGTATAAATTATAATGCAATCCGTGGCAATTTTCTAAGTAGTTGCAAAGACGTAATCGATCTAAAATTTCAGTTAGCCGAGCAAAACTTAAGTTCAGTCATAGGTATCTGATTTATTCCGCAGTGCACACACAATAATCAAGGATTCCGCCGAAGCCCGAAAGCGTCGATTTTGAAAGTAATTCATTTTGGTTTCATATTTTTTTGGTGGTTAAATTTACTTTTTATACTTCAAATAAAAATGTAATTTCATGAAAAATATGCTACCCCTATTTAGACACATATTTTATTTCTGAGGGTAAATGCATATAAAATAAGAGAGATCAAATAATATACAAACGCCGCTTGTCGTCGTCGTTTTTCTGCTCCCTGATCGTAGGGTAATTTAATAATTATAGCTTATTTTTAAGTACTTGAAATAAACATACATTATATGGTTTAACTTAGAATTACCGTTAGAAGCGATTACTTATAAGATATAATTTTAATTTATAACTTGTAATTATTTTTAAATCCAATGTTAGCAGTTGCAGGACACTATTAATTTAGTGTTATATATATTTCATTGTTCTATTATCTATTATATATTAATATTACATTATATTATAGTTGTATCTAAAATACAAACATTTTCACAGAGTGGTAAACTCACTATCCCAACCAGTTATAACTCCGTACGAGTGATTATGAAAATTATACTTTTATACTAGCATAGGTATAATATATAGAATTTTTTTAGTTTATTTAGAATTGTTTTTTTATAATTGTAAATAAAATTGTATTTGTTGGGAAAAAAAGCTGGAAAATTCAATAAAATGCTCTTGTAGATATTTACAATATTAGTTGAGAAATATTTAAAATGCATGGGCACGATTTTTTTAATGAGCATTTAAAGTTTAAATTTTAACAAAATCATTTGAAATGTAGAAATGATTTTATAATTTATAATTCAACTTTTGTAGGTTAGGGTTGAAAATTCAAAACAATGTTCCAAGCAAATAGGTTATTCTGTTATTAAAAAATCAAAAAAATATTATCACAGATTTTTATGTTCAAATGTTAACTAAATTAAAGATTAAATTACCTAGAATAATGATTGATGTTATTTTGTTGTAAATTAAAAATAATATTCGTGGGTACTTGAAACTTTTAAAGTATATTATTATATTTTATAGGTACCCACAGTGACTTTTCAAATGTACTTTTTTTTTAAATTAATTTAATCTACTGCGTAGTACTAATACTTACTAGTAAAATAAATTACTTTAATCACAATAATATCATCGAATATACTATATTAAGTAATATTAAAGACTGACAGACCGTCTTCTTTCAGAATCGTTTTTCGTATAGGTACAATGATTTTTCAACGTTGAATTCAAACTTAACATCATCCATTATAGTGACCAACTTGTAACCTAATGTACAGCAGAGAGACCTCCACATACCAGATTTTTTAAATTTAATTTTAAATATCTTAACATTTTTAACTTAACCGATTTTTATTGCTAAGTGTTTATTAAATAAAGAGTTACTTTTAATCAAATCCAAGTTGCGTAGTTTGTTTATAAAACACTAAATAATAAATATAGTAAAAATTATTATTATTGATGATGCATACGTACAACATCAACATTTACTTTTTATTATTTTAAAACCAGAAAACTAGGTATTTAAGTAAATAAAAAAATAAGTTAAATATAAGTTTCCAAATCAATTTTAACTTAACTGAATTAAAAATAAAATTAGGAGAACTATTAACTTATAACTTTTTAAAATGTTTCATATCGACTTATTAACTTAACTCAGTTAAAAATTTTCATTACTAACCCATGGTTGCAGTTATTATTATACTAAATTATTTTTACGTACAGGTACTCACACAACATATTATCTATCTCTAATTTGTTGCAATAATTATTTATTTTCTTAAACATAATACTTCAGGAATTAATATATTATAAATTAATTAATAATAAAAATAATTGATTTGAACGATATTTATGAAATATTGAAATAAAATAAACACACTTGCTAATCAGTAATGGTAACTATTTCCTATGTATTATCCTATTATTATAGTAAAAATGAACCAGTAGCAGAGTTCTAGTAGATAACTTACTTGCCGTAGCTCGTGAAGAAATATGCCTTTCGTAAGGTATAAAACTTATACGTTATTGAATAAAATAGTTAAAGCACAAACTAACACATAATAACTACGTACAGGTAAGATAAAAGCTAAAACTTAAAGAGATTATTTTAGCTATATAATATCTGTAATTTCTATAATAACA